TTTATTAACTCAGAAAGCATCATCTCAATCAGTTGTCTGCTTTCATTTCTCAGGTTGTACCCTCAGTTCATTTTTCTTCTCTCTCATTAAATGACACAGCATGTATGCCATTTACAACTTATTTCTATTTGTCTTTGCACATACTTTAGAAATAATTGTTTTACCTCTCCTCTGATGATCTGCTAGAAGCTATTTTTGGATCGTGGGTGGGGCTCAAGTGATTGACTTTTGTTTGGCGTGGACAAAGCCCTGGTATCCATCCCTGGAACTTTCCTCTATTACACATGGTATTTTACTATGTCCCACTCATCCTGGACATTCCAGAGGCTAGAAAAGCCTACCAGGTGCTTCTTCTGTGTGTGCATTGGTCAGGCTATTGGGATTCTTTTGGAATCTTCTGGTCCAATTAGAGATATAAGAGTGATTGCAAACTACCCCGTGAAGGATGCCTGTAAGCTGGGCTTGGGCAGCTCTGGCATTTGCTGTGATAGCAAAACCTTCCTTTAGGGTTTTCCCTTCTTGCCTTTCTATGTGGCCCAACATGTACACTCATTCAGTGCAGGAAGGTTCTGGGACCAGCTTACTCAGAAGGAACAGAAGATACAGAAGTCTAGAAGGAGACCGTTCTCTTAGCAATCTATAACTCTTACGGTTCTCTGCCCTTAACCTTGACTCCTAGTGTGGCAGTGTGACAGCCTTGCTAGGGCTCATACTCAGGGTCCTCAGTCATGAACCCTTAAGTGGGGTCCTCCCAGGACAGCTTTCCTTCCATGCTCTGAGAGGGAATCCCTGTCTCCCAGTGGACAACAACTCCCTAAATCTCAGTGAGTTAGACTCTTGCTGTTTGTTGTCTTGAAATGCCTCAGAGATGGTGGCCTGTGAAAATCACAGTTCTATAATTATCAATCCATTCCAGGCTCTGTTTTCTTGCCGTTTTTGGCTCTCTTCAGCGGGTTTCTGGAGGAGGTATAGTTAGATGGCTATGATGGAATGAGATGGTAAGAGACTTATCTAGGAAATCGAGACTGGATCATGATGATTATTTAAGATCACACCTCTCCTTCCAGCCTCACAACTGAGATCTGAGGATGGAATGAGATGATGAATGTGGAAATTCTTTGAAGACTGCTTGAGGAATTATGCAAATACAAACTTGCTTTGTTACTGCCACATTTTGTAAGAGGAGAAGCCAGTACCCTTACTGGAAACAAGCTCGAGTTAGACTTTTTTAAAAAGGAATGTGCAATCGTGGAAAATGCTTATTTTGGTGTAGCACAAATCAATTCGAGTTCTCATGTTCTCCCTACTTCTGTTCAGCAATCTGAAATAGAGTTTTGCATTCCTCTTCATTCTCCCCACTTTATAAAGTGTCAAGAGATTGTGTCAGCTAAAGAAACTAATCTTCAGATGGGTTTGAGCCAACACAATGCCCAGGGCAGGGCAAAGACTTTATTTAAAGTGGAAGAGTTGGTGATTTCCCTAGGCCATCTGGGAAGCTTGAGTGAATGTGGTTTCAGTGAAAGTAAAGGCTTTTACTTAAAATGCAAAGGAAAAGGCAAAGGCAAGAGGGACCCTGTTGGTTCCTGTTCACCTTCAAGAGCCTGTTAGTTCTCATTCACCTTCCTTCAAGTACTTGTCCTTTCTCTCTCTCCTGAAACTCCACTAACTTCATGTAAACCCTGAAGTATTGTTTTCTCATGGAAGCTACTTTCACTTGGTAGCTAGTCTGTCATTTTTCCACATTTGAAAGACGGTACACATTGTCAGTAATGAGAAATCCTGACAATATGTAAAAATCTGTTGTCCTTGTTGTGTCTATTTGTATCAAAGGGCCCAGTTGTGGTGATGTCAATACGCGCCCACCCTTCTCAGTGTCTGTCAATACAGGAAGCTGAAAACTTGCCACACAATGGTGAGCACACATGTTTAATGTTACATCAAATTTGCCAAAACAGAGTTTAAAGTGTGAAGTGAGTTTTTTGCCTTGGTTAAAAAACCTGTCCAATATCAAGTATCCCTATAAAAATATGCATTTAGAGTGTTGATAAGGACCAGTTATACCAGGGCACATGCTGAGCACTTCAGATCAGTGCTGGCTTTTACCACACACTGATAAAAACTGAAGGTAATGTAGAATTGACGTGGTGTGAGCATCGTCATGCTAGTGCTACATATTAAAAGTAGGTTTGTTAATGAGATAAAAATAAAAAAAAAATAGTACCCCATTTTACCTAATGAGCTTTTTTCCTGTTTGCCTCTTCCTGATACACTCATGGTCATTGGAAGTTTAGCTTTGGTGCGTGGTGTTCATATTCTGTATTCCTTATATAGCCAAAGTGTTTCCGCTTCTCCCTTTGGCTCAAGACCACTCCGCTGCTGCTTTAGCAAGGCTCCTATTGTTGACCCATGTTTTTGTCCAAAGTAAATAATGCTCAAGTGAACATCTTTGCCACAATTTAATTTTAGCTTTCTGTAGGAAGTTTGTTTGTTGGAATAAATGGAGTGATATCACAGTTCCAAACGCCAAGGAGTCAGTTGGAGGCACTGAGCTATGTGGTTCAGAGTCCCGTCATGAGGATGTGGTGAGAGCCGAGGTTCATGGAGATGTTACAGCATGCTGAAGTCTCAGGAACTAACTTTGGGGACCCTTTCCCATGTATTCTCATGGACCCCTCCTACTGGGTGAGCTGGCTGCCATTTTCCTTCAGGGTCAGCTGTGGAGCTATGGTCAACTGACGCTGGCGGTTGGAGAAGGTGGTGAGGTAGATAGAACCAAGAGAAGAGGGGCCACTCATGGCAGAGGAACTTCATTTCTACAGAGGTGTCTGCATTTCTACCCTGGAAGCTATGGTGGCTTCCGAAGCTGTGCAAACATTTAGCTATAGACTCAGGAAATGCCGTGCTTGCTTTGTCCAAATAGGACCTCGGAAGCTAAAGCGGAGTATCAGGTGTACAGCCATCAAAATTGCTGATAAGCCCCAAATCCCAACCTCTGTCCTCACTAATGACTTCCAAGAAAGGCTTGTCATTTATTCACCTTTTTTTTCCATCACAGCTAATTAGTTTTGTCAAACTGCAATTAAATAATGTGGTGAACTTCAGCTTTGATGAAGAGTCTTTTCAAGAGAAACAATATACTTCTTCAGGAAAGGGAGACAGACTGCAAGTCACACTGTGAGAGTTTCAATTTTGCCATCACCTTGTCCTCTGGCTGTGTTGGTGATAGAGGAGCTGGTGAATTGGACCCCGGCTTCACTCTATGTGACCGTGAAAAGTTGCCCCTTGTCTGTCACCAGTTACCGTCTGTGACTGCTCTGCCACCTACCAGGCTCGGTGATCAACCCCCTAAATATTTAAGTGTTCCTTTTTTGTTCTTCTGCCTATGGCTGTATTTTGGGTAAAACCCCTATCCCTTATCTTTATGCCCTCTATGGTAAAATATATATATATATATATATATTTTATTTATATATATATATATATATATATATATATATATATATATAGAGAGAGAGAGAGAGAGAGAGATAAAGATAGATAGATTTTTGTAATCAGTGTTTCACATACATGCAAAATACTAGTTTGTGCCATGTCATTCTCAAACATATTATAGAAGTTGAGCAATTGTTGTTGGTCATCTGGCATGTCTTCCTCACAAGGCTCTAGTTCTCTGTCCTGTCAAATTTCCAGTCAAGAAAACACTCCAGACAACCCTAATTAGGATGTACTCTGGAACCTGGAGATAGCCAGTGTGTTTCCAGCCACACCGAGGTACATTTGTAAAATTTCTCATGCTCTATTCTTGCTTTCATACCCACTTGAAGGCCTTGGAAGTATTCAGGGTCTGTTAGCAGACTCTTCTTGTTCTAGGCAGAATAATGGAATTAAAAAGTGATGGATGAGGAAGGCTGGCAGGAAGGATTTATAGTGCTTGCTGTAAACAAAATGCAACTCACTGTGTTTTCTCTGAAAACCACTTTGCCTCTGTGGCTAATCCATAAAAGTAAGCCATCATCTGGTAGTCTGGCTGGCACTCAACTGTGAATGAAGACAGAGAGGAGCAGAAAAAGGCCTCCAGAAAAGGTGATCTCCAAGTAAAGGGGAGGGAAAGGGAATTGAAATGAGAGTACAGTGGGTTAGGAACTGGTATAGTCAATGGTGACAAAACTAGGACTGTGGAAAGCACATGCAAAAACGTCTCATTCCGGTCTCACAATGGCTGCATTAGCACTGTGTTCATTTTGTATGTGGAGAAAATCAGACTCATTTAGACTAAGAGGCCACTCCTGTTGATGCCTAGTCTGACATCAGACAGCAAGCAGGAGGTAGAGCTCGGCCTTACTCTGAACTTCAGGTATGCTTGCTGATTGCTCTCTCTTCTTTCCTGCCTTGGGGAGGAACATGAAAGTTAGAATTCCAATATCCTTCAAAGTAGTAGAGGTCAGGTCAGGGGTCTTCTGATCACAAGTCTAGGAGAAAGAGAACCAGGATAGAATGAGTTTCTCTTTGCTGACTTTGGACCTGTCCAGATCCCATACACTTTTCCATTCACCTGAGGCTGTTTGCTTGTATGCATGTAGGGCATTTGAGCTTAGGTTAATTTTCCAGCTTGCTGGAACACCTGTGGGGTCTTCATGCCCCAAATCTGAGCTCAGGGGAGAAATCAGAGAGAGAAAATCCTGGTGCTTTTTGATCACAGTTGATCCTTACATACCTTCCTCTGCTTATGTCTTATATTTGAGAACAATAAAATACACGGTTTAAAGTGAACTGATTGCTAGCTCTTGGTTACTGCTCTTAAGTTATCCTGAACTGGTCTGGGCTTGGGAATTTAGAATAATTCAGTCTACCTGAAGGTGACTCCCATGGAATTCACATGAGCACAAGGAAGTCATTGCTTCTGAAAATAACTTGCGTTGGCGGTCACTCTCTCTATCTCGAAATGCTCCTCATGAACGGCTGCCCTTTTACAGTCATTCCCTCTTGTTTTTCCTCCCCAGAGTCGAAAACATGCAAGCAAAGTCCGGCTATATTACATGCTTCATCCCAGGGATGGCGGGTGTCCTGCCAAGAGGCTCCGGGCAGAAAATGTGAGTATATGGTACATATGGTGTCATAGGTGATTTGCTATGAATTTTGCAGGTGTAAAAATTGTAGGCTCAGAGGTTAAGAACACTGGCTGTTCTTCCGGGGGTCCTGAGTTCAATCCCCCCCCCAACCACCTGGTGGCTCATACCAATCTATAGTGAGATCTGGTGCCCAATTGTGGCACATAGGCATACACGCAGGCAGAATACTGTATAAATAATAAATAAATAAATGTTAAAAAAATAATTGTAGGTGTGTCCAGATGAGTAACGAAGCTAGGAGAATGGAGATGATGCTTGTCAGGGCATGTTACAGAAGAGCAGAGAGTTCTGTTTGTTGGCTGGCTTTTTGTTTTCTACCAGAACTTGTTAATATCTCGAGCTTCTGGTGATGTTTTACTGCAACCCTTCAGAGAAAGAAGGTACTGAGGTGTTGGGACAGAGCCAGCATGGGTGACAGGAGACAAGGGCCACCCAAGACAAAGCATGGGAAGACAAGAGCTAAAGGGCAGAACTGTCAGAAATACCAAATGCTTTGTTCTGTGTGGATTTGATTTCTCTGCTGTGTAGAATGGAATGTCAGCTTGTTAATTTATAATGCGGACCACACTTATCTTCTGCAAAGAAACAAACTCAGGCTTTTTGATCAGTGACCCCCTCTCCCTGAGGGAGCATTTACCTGGGCAGACAATGACAGTTCAAAGTTCCTTTGAGGTAACGTCAGAGCCCTGGGGGTTTTCCAGCCAGGCTTTTTCTCTGGGCAGTGGCCACAGTGTGGGCTATCCTCACCCTGTGGCTATAGAGGTCCTATATGCTCACACCGAAGAGTAAACACATTAGACTTTGGATTCCGAGAGTCTGTGATATAGAGTTGGTACCATGTGCCAGCAATTTGTAGGCATTGGTTCTTTTTAATATGTGATCATTGAAGAACATGAACTTGGAGGATTTGGGGGAAGGGGGAAGAAAATAAAGAATCAAGAAACTATGTGTGCCCGAAGGTAGAAAGCTCTTGGAATGTCCCCTTATACAAATGTCACATATACCACTTAGCACGATCTGATTGCAAGTAGACTGACCTGGACTCTGGAGTTAGCATCACTGGCAGGGCAAAGCAGCATTCAGAGCTTGCTTGAGGGGGAAAAAAAAAATGACCTGGAAAGTTTGCAAAGTACTAAGGCCCAGAACTCACTTAGCTGTTTAGTTGAACATCTCTTTAGTTGAAATCTCAAGTAATTTACCTTGTGTTGCCTCTGTGGAACATTAATAATTATAGTTTCCTCTCAGTTTATGTGTGTGTGTGTGTGTGTGTGTGTGTGTGTGGTTTGACGGTTACCTGAAACAGTAAACAGGACATATACTGGTGATGTTTCATAATGAAGAATCAAGTAAACGAGGCAGACATGCTGAGAAGAATGTCAGATACTAGTGAGGGGTTAATGATGTATAAGGAGTAGTTTTGATCACACAGTGCATCTATTAACAGTGTTTGAAAACAAACACAGAAGCAAGATATAGGGGCATCCCACCCAAAGGGCTGAGCATCTGCTGGAGTCTGGGCTATGGGTAGATTTTGTCCAATGGAGGAGGGAGGCAAGAGGAAGAGAAAGGATGCTAGTGTCTTAGCTGCATGCCGATCAGAACCACTTGCTAAATCATAGATGAGTTCGCCTTACTTGGCTTTTGTGGGACCTCAGAATCCTGCACCTACATGGAAATCGTGCCTTCTGCTGGCGAACAGGTAGAGCAGAGGAACTGTTCTTTTAGCTCTAAAAATAACCTTGTAGTGGTGCCTGTATCCTTATTCAGAAGTAATTAGCTCTTTACTCTAAGAGTCAGAAGATGCTGAACTTCAGGCCTACTGGATAAGGAGCTATTTAGGACATATTTATTTATTACACACACACACACACACACACACACACACACAGTCACAAATGCTGCACTTATATATGAGCTTCTTGGCCTTTGAGGGCTAGAAAATGAAAAGCCTCAAGCCAGCTTTGTATTGTGTAGGCTGGAGGACACAGCCTTTGCCTCTTCAAGAAGATCCATCATTTGCCTCAGTTGGGGTCTATTCTGGCCAATCACCAGACATAGCTCACAGAAGGGGAGATATTTGGATTTTAGAACGAGGAACATTTTCAAAGCTTCTTTACTTAATACCCCTTTGAAAACCTTCCCTCTCACGTATCCGGGGTTTTGGAAATTTTTATCTATCAGTGATTTATTATTTATCAAATCATTTCCCGTAACTTACCAATCACAGTATGAAAGTGAGTCGTAAACAGAAAAGCAACGAGCTAACCCTGACTCTAGGTAAAGATCTAGCTGGCGGTTTTGTCACACTTTTGTACATTTCACAGGTAAATACGGCAGTTTCACTCTACATTCTGATATGCTGGGTATGGTTCAGAAACTGCTTCAGCTTACATCTGGAGCTCTGCTCTCAGTATTTAGAGTAACTCTGCCTTGGGCAGATGCACACTAAGAAACGGAGAGAATGAATATACAATGTTAAATGACCAACCCATATAGGCAAGCAGAAGCCTGACTCCCTGCCTGTGGTATTTAGTCCAGCCATGGAGAGCAATCTGCTGCAAGTCATACTTAGACCGTGGTGGATGCTCTTTCTGAAAATGCTCCAAGAAGCCACTCATTAACTCTATAACAAGAGGCACCCAGATGGACTGCTCCAGATCACCGACAGCCTCCCTTGTTCTTATCCCTGCTGTTGGTTTAGGACCAAGTAGAGAAAGGCAGACACGCACCCCTCCAAGCCGCATGGGGTGTTTTGCCTCTAGCTGGCTCCTCCAGCTTTTACCCACAGCGACCTGCAATCAGGACATGCCTAAAAGCTTTCCTCTATTCCACAAGGAAACTTCCTTCTCTTCCTGCCCTTAAGCCCTTGTGATGGTGGCAAGCTCCATATGACTAGATTTTGCACTTAGAGGGCCTCTGCTCATTTCCATAGGGCTGTAAAATTGGGATGGCAGCACCATTAAACTCAGAGTTTCATATGGGATGTCACTCATGTTTGCTTAGCACTTTGTTTTCATCCTTGACCCCTGGCCCCCATCTCTGCCAGCACCCCGGTTCCCTGAGGGATTCAGAGCTCTTCTACTGGCCTCTGTGTTTCTTCTGCCCTCCCTGATTCCTGGTGCTGTGGCCTATTTGTAACCAGAGTCCTGAACTGAGGAGCACTTCCGCATCTTCTCCTTAACACTAGGAAAGGGGGTGGCCTCTGAGAAGAGAGACAACTGTCCTCCCATTTCCCCAGGCCCCTTGTACATACCGTCCGAGGTATGTGGCACCCCTACATGTAGAGTAGAAGAGAGAATAGCCTATGTTTGAAAAGCCTCTGTTCATTTCCTCTTTTAGCATTTCTGGCTTTCTAAACTCCCCTTTTATATACTTATTCTTAAGACTCCGTGATTGGAGCTTTTATTGCTCCCCCCCACACACACCAAAAGAAACTTTAAATCAGGACATTTCCCCTTGAGGCCAAAGAGCAAAATCAAAGATGAAATAAATTTTTATAGCTGATTGTCTTAAAGACAACCATTTTTAGTAATTCCTCCCACGCTCGAGTGAAATGGTCTCTACCCCGCGGAGCCTCTGCTTTGCACCACTGACCTTTGCAGTATCTTCTCCCCATGGATCACGTGCTTTGAAAAGATCTACTTAGGAAATGGAACTTTAAGGGAAATTGGGGTTTAGATTTTTGTTGCTTTTGATTATTGAAAGACATAAATAGCTGCCAATCAGAGTTACCAATTACTATTAAGTAAACAGTACATTTTTATGCAGTTGTTCTATAATTCCCTACAAAAGATAAAGTTCACATTCGGTTAGTGTGCTGAGGGTGTGTAGTTAGACTTTCGTTGAGGTATAAAAATATTTAATGTGTCCTGGGGAACCCCAGATCCTGGTCATCTTGGAATCTAGGTAGAAGTTAAGGGTGGGCTGCCAGTCCCACCTAGATTCTTCTTATTACTGAAGTGAAAAATAAGGATGAAGATATATGTCATGATATGTCACATTCATGTCATGACATGCTGGGCCTGAGATTGCTGTCCTACTTCTTTCACTCCTGTCCCCATTATGTGTCAAAACTGTTCCTGACCTTTGACATTAATGCTGAGTACTGATCCAGAACACTGTTACTGTGAGAAAAGTGTAAGAGTGATAGTAGCCGCCGCTTCCCACATTCTCCCCACGTGCGTTCTAAGTACGTGATGCACACTTGGAGAGTTCATGCGTAAGGCAGAGCTAGACATTATCCCCACTCAAAGAGACTAAATGACTTGACTCGTCAGACAGCTGGTAAATGGTAGAGATGTGTGAGGGAAAACAGAAAACAAAATCAAAGAAAGCTTTTCTTCCTGAGTCTGTTCCCTAAGTCTGCCATGTTGCTCCATGAGACAGCTTGTGTGTGTCTGTAAGTGTTGGAAGGCTAGACCCTCCCCCACTCTCACAGAGTAGGGACGTTCTATTGGCAATCTGTGTGGGTTAGCCTAGTGTGTTCCTGCTCTATAGTGTGGCAAGCACAGAGAAGTATTCCCAGTTGCCCCTGATAGGTTAGGTTTTCTCAGGAGGATGACACCTAGTTGATTCTTGAAAGAGGATGCCAGTGAACCAATGAGAAAAATAGAGAGGGCTTCTGTGAGTGCAGGGTCAATGTGACCCATAGCCTTAGGGAGACCGGACAGAAGCCAGAGGCGTTTCTAGCATGTATGGCACTCTGGGTAGCTGTCAGGTTTTTAGGCCAGGGTTCCAGGAGTCCTCCTTCAGAAAAGTAGGTGAGAGCCTGCTACTTGCTTCTCACCAATCTGTGGTGGCTTCTGCGTCCTTAGGTTGTTTTTCTGTACTCTCATCCTCCGGAAGTATATCGGAGTTAATAGTTCTGTATAGATGCCAAGTAAGAGCTCATGTCTCAAAGGCCATGGATATGAAGGGGAGATTATTTATCAAATACAGTGCCAGAAACAAAAGTCAGGGTT